AATCACGGCTTCCTTCTTCTTCTTCTTCCCCTAAGCAAACACCCTTCAAAGTTGCAACCTTTCACTTTCTTGATTCTTCTTTTCCATTAATTAGTCCCTGCAGATCCCTGATGTAGCCCTTTTTCTTTCACAGCCTGCTCTGAGTTCAATCTCAGCTGGCTTTTCTTGCCTAAACCACATTCTTGATTCACAAAATAGCAATAGTAAAGATACAATCTTTGTTATTTTGGCTGACCAATTGATAAAGGGGTTTCAAGAATTCTTGTTAATATGGCCTTTGCAGCTCAGCAGAAGAAGGCTATTCATTCCATGTTAGCAAACAAGCTGACCCATCTCAAAATCCCTGACTCTTCTTCATCATCTCCTCCTTCTACTGATCCAGATTTTGATTTTTCTGATGTATTTGGTGCTCCTACCTCTTCTTCATCTCCTTCATCTTCTTCCAGTTTTCTAACTGACCCACAAATCATTCATAGTAGGTCCCACTCTTTTGTGGGTCCATCTCCAAGGATCACTCTCTCAAAGCCTCTGCCTTTTCACCAAGAAGTTGATTCTGAGAGTGAAAGTGATAGTGATAAAGTTAATACTCATGTAGGTACTCACCAAACTGAATGTACTGATGGGGTTGAAGAGATTAGTGGAGATGAGGGGTTAGCTGTAACAAAATTTGGGCCAGGGGATTTTGAGATCTTGAGGATGATTGGAAAAGGTTCTTTTGGGAAGGTTTTTCAGGTGAAGATGAAGGGGTATGGTGGTGAGGGTGATGGGATATTAGCAATGAAAGTGATGAGGAAGGACACGGTAATCAAGAATAAGCATGTGGATTATATGAGAGCTGAGAGGGATATTCTCACTAAAGTTGAGCACCCTTTTATTGTTCAGCTTAGATACTCATTTCAGGTAATAGTTGCTTATACTGGACTTGGTAAATTTGTCTATTCAGTTTCAGATTAATGGGTATATTTATCTTAAATGTATACATAAATAGTCTTACTATCCTGCTATTGTTACCACCTATGTCTTCATAAATGTTGTGTTTTTGCTTTCTTTGAGCCGAGTGTCTATCGGAAATAGCCTCTCTACCTACACTCACCCTCCCCTGACCCCACTCGTGGGACTATACTGGTTCTGTTGTTGTTACTTGTTTTTCTTCTTAATGTACAAGAACAAGATAATCTTTTGTATTAGGAATTATTTGGTTTTAAGTCCGAAGCTAAATTTAGTACTATGGTATTTGTCCTTTCATGTAATTTTCTGTTACAGAAGTACTTAAAAGGTGAGAGCTTTTCCTTGCCTCTCTCTGTGGGGAAAAGCTTTTCATAGAAAGAGGAAACTCTTTTGGGAATCTGTTTGAATTCTGGTGTCACTCATTCCTTCTTTTTTGAGCGGGGACAACATGAGCAAGTTTTGAACTTTATTAGTACTAGGAATACTATTTAACATCATTAATGCTAATGAAATTAATTTCAAGTGGAACTTCTGTTCTTTTTGTCTAGAATCTAGTCAGATTGCTGAATATTTGATAGGATATTTTAGTAGATTTATTTAGACAATTTCAGAGAAGTTCATTAACTTTTTCTGTTGCGATTTTCTTTTTTTAGTTTCCATTATTCTTTGCCTTTGATGCAGAATTGTCTTTGTTTCGGAAACAATCTTTCTGAAGATTTTTTTGGACAATATTTGTTTTGAACTGGTAACTTTTGTATTATAGACCAGTACTTAGGTAGTACTGGAAAACCCATTTACAAATTAAAGTATGAGAACAAAGATGCTAAGAAAATTCAACCCTAACATGAGTCTAAAACTTTTAGGATTGATCTGCATCTTCATGGGAGCTCTTTGTACACCAAAAAGAAAATAGCAAAACACTGTTTCTGTAAAGTGCTACTTCTAGCCTCAAATAGAATTCCTTTCTTTCCAGATTGCGCACCATATGCAAGCTGGAATGATCCTACGGTAGCTTCTAATCGTTACCCCAATCAGCCTTCTCTACAGCTAGAAAGAGTGTCAACAATCTTGCTAGGCATTGTCCAAGATGATTTTTTTTTTTTTGACAATTTCAAAGTGAAGTTAATGATTTTTTAGAACTTTTGTTGGTTTTTTCTATTTAGTTCCCATATTTCTCGATGTCTTTTTAAAGCACAGATTTTGTCTTTCTTTGGTGTACTCATTGTCATTGATTTTGCTACTGTGATTTGATTTTCGAAATCATATGCCTTACAGTCTCAGACCAAGCTTTCTTGCCCTATGATGTGTTTTTTCTTATTAACAATATCATTCCTGGGTCATTTATTTTGGAATATGCTGCAGACGAAGTCTAAGCTGTATTTGATTTTGGATTTTATAAATGGAGGACATCTTTTCTATCATCTATACAGACAAGGGATTTTCAGGTACCTTTGCATTTCTTATTGACTAACCAGTCATGATATGCATTCTGCTCTTCTAACTTCAGCTCTTGGGTGTGCTTTGGGTAGTGAGGACCAGGCAAGGATTTATGCTGCTGAGATAGTTTCTGCTGTTTCACATCTTCACCAGAGAGGGATCGTGCATCGAGACCTCAAACCTGAAAATATTCTCATGGATGGTGATGGACATGTAATAGTCTTGCTGTACTCTACTGCAGGAACATGATTGATGCATGGAAGAAGAAAAGAAATAAGAAATACGTAGCATTTTTCCTTTGAACATTGCAGTTGATTCATTCCTCTTCTTAAGCATTTCATTTTCCACCCAGGTCATGCTGACAGATTTTGGACTGGCAAAAGAGATTGATGAATCAAGCAGATCTAATTCAATGTGTGGAACCATGGAATACATGGCTCCGGAGATTATACAGTCCAAGGGCCACAATAAAGATGCTGACTGGTGGAGTGTTGGGGTACTTCTGTATGAGATGCTGACTGGTCAGGTAATCTAAGTACTGGTTGGAACATTTGTTTGCAGTGTAATTTTAGGACACTAGAATCATGCAGTGTTGAGTAATGCCAAAGCATGTGACAAAGCATAGACAGTTCAACGGACATTCTCTGGAGCCTATTTTATGTGAAATGTCCTATAAATTGCATTATTCCTAGACAGATTTTCCTTTGTAAATTAGAACACTTTTGACTCTCATTTCTTTCAGCCACCTTTCACCCATGCAAATAGAAAGAAGCTTCAGGAAAAGATCATCAGCGAGAAACTGAAACTTCTACCACGTCTGACTGGTGAAGCTCACTCTCTGCTCAAAGGAGTATGTACAAACTATCAATTGACTGCTTGCCCATACTTTCTTAGATAAGTGATTGTAATTCAACTGAATGAAAACTTGCAATTTTTTCCCGTAGTTGCTACAGAAGGACCCATCCAAAAGATTAGGCAGTGGACCAAGAGGAGGGGATGAGATCAAAAGTCACAAGTGGTTCCGCACAATCAATTGGAAGAAACTTGATGCCAGAGAACTACAGCCTAAGTTCAAACCAGATGTAATTGGCAGAGATTGCACTGCCAATTTCGACAAATGTTGGACTACAATGCCACCGGATGACTCACCAGCATCTACTCCGACAACAGGCGAACACTTTCAAGGTTACACTTATGTAGCACCAAATCCTTGGCTCTCCTCTAGTTGATTTAAGTCTTTATCTTGACAAAATTTCGAACTCTTAGTTTGCTATTGTAAGTCATTCTTTGTTAGAGAGAGGATCATGAGAAATGTATGGATCAGATTGTATCATGGTAAAAGCAAATCTTTCTAACTCTTTTTGTGTACTGCTGTAAGTTCATTCTTCTCTATGGACAAGATGTGAATCAATCAATTGACTTTGATTGTGTAGCCCTTTTCTTTACCTGCTCTTCTATGCTTCCTCTTAACCTCATCTATTCGATGCTCTCTGGAAATTATAAATTCTTTTATTATTTTGTACTGCAAGAGAATCTAAGAATGTGTTCACACTTTTCACTCATGTGATGATTTAGTCCCTATATTTCAAATTCAAATCAGTATTGAAAATTAATCAAAGTTGTTCAGTATTCAAGAACTCTAAATGATTAATGAGAAATAGCTGAAATAAAACCATTACAAATATGTACACTGGGGAGCTGAAAAGAGAGGATGTTCCAGGGCTTTGTTGCATTCTAGAGAATAGAAAATGCTAATGAGTTCTGCATATGGTTCAACAATTTAATAGAGGAGCAAATTGAGGGTAGTGTTGGTGCATTAGTGGAGTATATGAGTAGATATCCTTCAGGGGAATGAATTGGCTTTTGATTTTTCTCCTTATATGTTTCCTTTGATTGTGGATGTCTGTGGGAGGGTCTGCCTGATTGTTTTACAGGCTTGCACAATCTTATGCGGTAGTAGTTGAGAAAAGTAGAAGAAGGCGTATTCTCAACTACTAGTTCTAGAAACTATTGCGACATCAAATGAGTCAACTAGAAAAATTGCATTCAATTTTGTGATGAGTAATGTAGTGCTCTTTTGAACTATGTTAGGGCATAACTCTAGTCATTTTTATTTATATGAATGAATAGATGAGTGTCATTCTAATAAATGGAAATGTTAAAGTTGTCTATAGTTATTAGGTAGTATGAAATTTTGAAAGATGGCTTTTTCTTTTATTTCTTCTGCCTGAATATCAGATACACTCTCTTTGTACCTTGTCCGTTACTGATTCTGCTTACTATTTCAGTATGTGCAAATTATCATCTTTCGCTATTTATAGCTCAAGAAATGCTATACATCTCGCTTGTATTTGACCAAGCTCCTCCAGCATTTTGTTTTTGCTCTCTTTCCTCGAGTTAATACCAACTATAACATGAATAAATAAACTGATCAAACTTCTGTATTAGACTTTGCAAGAGTTTTTTGTACTTCCATGTGAATTATTTCCCTTGGAACCTGAGACTGTCATTAAGTAGGTTTTTGAAAGGAAGAACTGAACACATGCCAAAATAAGCATCCATAGATCTACCTTCCTATACTATGGTGTTTATCTTGGAAATGAACTGTTAACAGTTGAGGGATGTGACGTTTTTTTCTGTTAACAACAGTGTAGAGTTATCTCAAATTGGTGAGATGTTTAATGGTATCACTCCGGAAAGGGATGAAATATGACATGGTTATTAAAATATGAACCATATAACCATGTGGAGCAAAAGTTTTGTCGTTATATAAGTTCGATCTGCTCCTTTCCAAAATATGCTGGCTTCAGTGTACTTCTATAAGGCACACTTGTGAACTGTCATTTGAATGGTTTCAGTACATATCCATTATCTAGATATTGTGGAAAAAGTTGCATAAAGGTTGGAATCAGTGGAAGAGCACTGGTGAGTGGTGACTACTTAATGAAACTTAAATAAATTATAGCTTCATATGGTATATGGAAAGTAGAAAGGCATCTCATTCCAGTTACTTTTAAGTGGATAAGTTAGTTTGTGCTCATTAACAACCACCTGGTTTGTTGTGTGTGCGTGGGGGGGAGGGGGGGTG